TGTGTGTGTGTGTGTGTGTGTGTGTGTGTGTGTGTGTGTGTGTGTGTAGGTATATAGCTATACACATATGCCTATGAAAAACTGTTAGAATTGTAAGGCTACTAATGTGATCTTTTTCCCCCTTTAAACATTCAATAGCTCTTCTCCTAAGTTATCTGAATGCCTTCAGAAGAAAAAAGAAATAATTGAACAGATGGAGATGAAATTAGATACTGGCATTGACAGGCAAGTTGTTAGTTTTACTGTTTCTCTTGCATTTTTGTTGTTGTGTTTATTTTTTTATTTAAAAAAATTTTTAACCTCTTTATTGGAGTATAATTGCTTTACAATGTTGTGTTAGTTTCTACTGTATAACAGAGTAAATCAGTTATATGTATACGTATATCCCAATATCCTCTCCCTCTTGTACCTCCTTCCCACCCTCCCTATCCCACCCCTCTAGGTGGTCACAAAAAGCACTGAGCTGATCTCCCTGTGCTATCTCTTGCATTTTTTTAAAATTGTAAAAACACCATGAAAATGATTTTCAGAGAAGAAGAAAGTCTATTTTAATTCCACCATCCTGCTATAACGTTTGATTTTATTTTTACATATTGCTTTCATCTTTATTAGAATGTTGTTTTTATTGCCTTCCAGGTTTATTATTTATGGAAGTCAGTATGTTTAGACTTACTTTTAAAGCAGATTCTATTTAATATATTTTTTTGTAGATGCCCCCTCCTACACATACACACACACACCCTCTTGCTCTCCCTCTCTCCAAACTCCTTAAAAATGGTATGTAACATAGAAGATTTTATTTTCAGTTAGAACTGTCAGGCTAATATCTGAAATGCTTTAAATAAATTTACTGATTTTCTAAAAGTAACTTCCATTAAGTGAATGCAGACTCTATATTCAAAAAAATTTTTGTAATGTTTATTGTAGTTAATTACCTGTTCATAATATGGAGCAGTGAATCTCTGTCTTTTGAGATGATAGTGGGCATTTATTTATTGATGATGATAATAGCTACTATTTGGTTTGGCCAGAAAGTTTGTTTGGGTTTTTGTAACATGAAAAACCCGAACGAACTTTTTGGCCAACTCAATATTTATCAAGAATTTGCGGACTTCCCTGGTGGCACAGTGGTTAAGAATCTGCCTGCCAACTCAGGGGACACAGGTTTGAGCCCTGGTCCGGGAAGATCCCACATGCCGCGGAGCAGTGAAGCTTGTGCGCCACAACTACTGAGCCTGCGAGCCACAACTACTGAGCCCGCGTGCCACAACTACTGAAGCCCGTGTGCCTAGATCCTGTGCTCCACAACAAGAGAAGCCACCGCAATGAGAAGCCCATGCACCACAATGAAGAGTAGCCCCTGCTCACCGCAACTAAAGAAAGCCCATGCACAGCAATGAAGACCCAATGCAGCCAAAAATAAATAAATGAATAGATAAATAAATAAATTTATTAAAAAAAGAAAAGAATTTGCTATGTGCCGGGCACAGTACAAGGATCTTTACCTGTATAATTTCATTTATTAAGTAGGAAATACTATTCCCATTTTACAGGTGAGGAAATGAAAGCGTAAAGAAATGAGGTAGTTTGCTCAAGATCATAATGCTGGATATTTGGGACTCAAATTCTAAAGCCCACGCTACTAGGTTTGGGCATATTTTTATTTATTGTAATTCTCCTCCTTTCTCTTCTATTCAAGAAAACATATTTGAATATGTTAGTTACAGGAACTCTAGCCCTTAATATCTTTGTCTTTTGCCTATCTATTATTCTTTCCCAGCTTTATTTTATTCATTGTTGTGCTTAGATAGCTTGGTCCATCTCTTTAATTACTCCCTCGTAATTACCCTAAAATTTATTTCCTTTAACCGTAATTATCTTACAGATCCTAAAATCTGGATTAATGCAGACTCTTTTATTCCCATAACCGGATGGCTGATTGCTGTTGGAGAGTGCCACATAACTCAAACATTATTCGTGCCATTACAAACACATACTCTCATTTTCCAACTGGGTCTTCAGTACCACTTGTTCAGCCTCCTGCTTGTCCTTAGACTGTGAAACTCGGGTTCTTCTCACCTGTTCTTCTAAACTTTGGCCATTCCTCATAAGCCCCTCTATCTTACTGCCTTCCTAAGCATTCTCCAAATATAGTTGTTAAGGAAACAAATTAGTGACAGTCTTCTAAGATCTTTAAGATTTCCTTAAATAGAGTAATGAGCAAATGAATCTTTGCCCTGTGTTTTGAGCAGGAAGCTAATAAAACTAAGAGGTCTTTGATGTCAAGACCTAGAATTTACTTTTTTGAAATCTAAAGTATACCCATAGTAAAATAGTATCATGGTGACATGAAATGAAATAATTTAAATTTAATTTATTATAAATAATATAAATAAAAGTAAATATAAAGTAAATTAAATGGATCAAATACATGGTGTTCTCAATTCTCTAGGACATTAAATTGTATGATTGGACAAATGAAGCATATCTTGGCTGCAGAACAAAAGAAAACAGATTTTAAGCCAGAAGATGAAAACAATGTTTTGATTCAGTATACTAATGTGAGTAAAATGATTCAGTATGCTACTAAGAATATCTGCTTTGTTTGTACTTTTGTTAACATTTCATTGATGTATCTTATTATGCTCCACGTTTTTTTATTTTATACTTAGAGATTAATGAGAAACTATATATTTTCTCCTTAGCTAAGCTGATACACATTTCTATGTAATAAGTATAGAAAAAATTTTTACAGGCCTGTGTTAAAGTCTGTGCTTATGTAAGAAAACAAGTGGAGAAGATTAAAAATTCCATGGATGGGAAGAATGTGGATACAGTTTTGATGGAACTTGGAGTACGTTTTCATCGACTTATTTATGAGCATCTTCAACAATATTCCTATAGTTGTATGGGTGGCATGTTAGCAATTTGTGATGTTGCTGAATATAGGAAGTGTGCCAAAGACTTCAAGGTATGTATTCACAAATATCAAACTTGTAAATAGGTTCAAGAACATAAGTCAGATCATAAAAAATGTGCACTGACTTATAATCATCAGTGAAAAATTTATAACTTTTGTTGACATTGTAGTGAAACAGATCTAACATTTCCTAACTGAAAAAGTATTGTTGCAGTCATATTTTCAATATTAACACATTTTTGCTTTGAGCTTTATTTTAGACAAGGCCATATTTCAGTTCCATAGTCCAAATGACCTTATTAAATAACACCCATGACTAATGCTGCATATATCAGATATCAGGAAGATATGTTCTTTCTTCATGTACATCTCTCTGAAATCAGTTTCCCTTAATGTTTAAATTATTTAAGAAACCTGCTAAATCAATGATAACTAATTCTAGTTTACAAAAGTATAAATGATTATTACTATTTAAGAAAATTGGCATAATATGAATCTTTTCAAAAAGATTATAGTGAGTTTTATAATGTCTGAAATATTTGAGTTTTAACGCTTCAGGAACTTTAAAAAATTCTAACATTGAACTCTCCATCATTAGTTAAGTCCTGAATAACAGTACGTAAGTGAGAAGAATTTACAAACTGATTGTAAAACTAAACATTATCTTGTTTCAATGTTATTTTTTTCCTTCCCTTATCTCAATTCAGATTCCTCTGGTATTACAGCTTTTTGATACTCTGCATGCACTTTGCAATCTTCTGGTAGTAAACCCAGATAATTTAAAGCAAGTCTGCTCAGGAGAACAACTTGCTAATCTGGACAAGAACATTCTTCACTCCTTCGTACAACTTCGTGCTGACTATAGATCTGCCCGCCTTGCTCGACATTTCAGCTGAGGTTGAATTTACAAGGGCAGTGTGTTGTACTTCAGCAGGCCTTGGTTGATAGAAAGCACAGGCGGTTTCTTATGACACAGCCAACATTTTATTGATAAATGACTGTTTAGAAAAACAGCAGCCATACTTACCCTTGAGATTTTATTTGAAATTTGGACACTACTAAGCATATTTTGCTCTTTTCCCTTAAGTTGGATTTTAATTCCGTTTTTGAACTTATAAATTTCAAACTCTGTAAAGCTATATGTCATTGTTTTCATCCTGGAAAATGTTAGTGTCAGAAGGCAAATGAGATGTTACCAGTGTTCTGGTTCATGTTCTTTAACATAGTCCATTGGGAAATTTCACCATCCTGTTTTGCACTAAAGATGGGTAAACTCCAGCAAAACTACATTTATTATTTATCAATTTTCAATGACCTTTTCAGCACTGGTAATTGTGAATCAGGTTATTTTAGGTTTTCCTAGAGAACTTTTTTTCTTCTTTCAGAAGGTTAATTAACAATTGGGCATAATTTTTGTAGTTGGTTGATTGGATTTTTCTGAGGTACAACAATAATACTATTCCAAGAAAAATGTTATAAACAAAACTAAAATGATGAAATGTTTTATGTAGGTATTAGTAGTGGATCAGAATACATCTGCTTTCTGGGAAAAAAAAAAAATTAAATGTTTACAATTTCTTATTTGGTAAACAGATTTTTAAGCCAATGCTAGCAAGAAATTAATAAAATTACCTTATTTTATATTTTGCTTAAGATAAGGTGGAGGATCTTAATTAAAGGACCATATTTATTCATTATTTTAATATTACAAGGGAAGTAAAAAAATGAGGTGTGGTCTAAATGGTGCATATGAGAAGTATTGACAGTGTTTAGCAACAATGCAGTCCTTTAAGATTTCTACCTTTATGCAAAACTGGAATAAGATGGAATGGCTAAACATGCAGGTAGTCTTCTATTTTAAGAGGAATTGGGAATTGATAGTTAGCATTATATTCTAAGTCTTGAGGTAAACTTTGCAAGGACTAGTTGCTTTTTAAATCTATAGTTTCTGTCATTACCTTTTTCAGGGCATTTCTGAAACGATTCCTACTGAATGTAGTTAATTGAATTGGCTTAAGGTGGCATAATAAATCACTTATAAAATTTTAAACATCAAGCAGAAATTTAGAAATATCTTTACTCTAAAAACTATAAACTTGCTCTGTGAGAATGCATTCTTAGCTATATGTAGTGTTTCAGCTTTCATTGTGTTTTTCATAGTCTTCAGGAACAGATAAACTTTAATGTTCAACTCATTCTTGACTTTTCTTTTTCCTTTAATGTAGGCTTTTTGGCCTAATTTTGGAAAACTAATTTTAAGAATATGTTTCTGGGGCTTCCCTGGTGGCGCAGTGGTTGAGAGTCCGCCTGCCGATGCAGGCGACATGGGTTCGTGCCCCGGTCTGGGAAGATCCCACATGCCACGGAAGCGGCTGGGCCCGTGAGCCATGGCCGCTGAGCCTGCGTGTCTGGAGCCTGTGCTCCGCAACGGGAGAGGCCACAACAGTGAGAGGCCCGCGTACCGCAAAAAAAAAAAAAAAGAAAAAGAAAAAGAAATATGTTTCTGAATGTTCATCAGCTTTACCCAAACTTCCAGGTCCAAAGCGAGCTAGCTACTGTATAAGTTACTATTGACTGAATTTTCTTCATTTTCTATTTAGCCCAGTGTTATCAGGGTAAGCAAGAGAAATGAAGTATGCCAACTTTTGTCAAAGCATTTTAGGAAATTGTGGCAGCTTTAGAAGGCTGTCTAATTTTCTATTCCTTAGCCAAAGGAAAGCCAGAACAGGTTTTGGATACTAGAGAAAGTCATATGCTTGTACTATTGCCATTTTAGAAAGCTCTGATGTGAATTCAAATTATACCTCTGTTACTTAAAGCCAACAATTTTAAAGCAGTAGTTTTACTGGCCACTTGAACTCTTTGTACACAGTGTCAATTTGTAAAAAAATAAAAAAGGGAAAAAAATATCAAATAAAACATGAGAGAACACTTTAAGACTTCCAAATCAGAAAAGTGCTTCAAATTATTTTGTTTGGATTAATTTTTTAAATGTAAAACATATATTTGTTGCTTAGATATTTTGTTAATTATTATTTCCATGTTTGAGTTCTGTGCAATATTTTCCATTATGTCCATTGACAGGACAGTAACAAAGAAAACTCATAAGTGACTACTTAATTTAGAAGTGTTAACATTAATGCTCAATAAACAAATGCCCTGCAATTGTTTTTTTTTTATTTCACTCCATTTTTACATTTTGAGGACATCCATACTGAATTTTATAAATTATTTTTTATTTAAATTTTTAAGATGTTTCTTATTTTTCATAGCATAGGTCTTCCTTTTTAAGCAGAAAAATACTTGACTATATAATCAAAATTAGAAACAGATTGTCTTTCTCTAAGAAAAAAAAATTTGTTACATAAAGCAGTATGCATTCTTTGCATTCATTGTATTTCATTTTGAAAGTATTTTTCATATTAATGGATACTACAAAATTCTCAAAATATATGGCTCAATAGAGATGGTCAATAAGTAAAATGTTTTTCATATGCACATGGTAAAATTTTAGGTAGCGATAATGGAACTTTGTATATCAGTAACTTTAGTCAACATTTGAATAAGGAAAATCTTTATAATTTTCCGTAGTTTCACATGAGCTAACATGCAATGTTTAGATAATGTTTTGAAATTGAAAATAGACTCTTAAACACTGCGTTTTTAGAAAATGCAGAAACACTCGATAAAAAGCTTGAGTGTATTATGTTTTCATAACACAGAAAGTGAAATACAGAACACAGGTTTAAGAAGGAAGTCTAACTTCTATAAGTTATGATATTGAAAATGACAGCTAACCAAAGTAGCTGAATACTTCTTATGAGGAATTGTTAAATAATGGCTGGTTGCATCTTTAGACAGTTGGTTATCTGACTATTTCAAGACAGTTATTAGTAGCCTCATTTTGAATATCCCCATGTTTGCAAGTCCCTAGCACCTTTCTTGTTTTAAAAAGAGCTTCTAAGTAAGTTAATTCATGGTATATTTTAGACCATCCCTTTCCTTTCACTTTAAGTATATCACTCTGAATATCAGCCTTCTCACTCACCATAAAATAATTTAATTAGCCAGTAGATCGACTCAAAGTGGAGAATTTACTGCTTCCTTAAAATGCCTTTTTCTCATCTATGATGGTGAAATATTTACATCTATCTAGATAAAGAGATTTTTGTTCTTGAAATGCCACAAAACCCATTAAGGTGGTCATGTTTGTGAAGTAGTGCTTAAGGCATGCTTGAACTGCACGTGAGAGTAAGTAAGGTTCCCTGGGTGCATAATTTGTTAGTGACTTTAAAAGCTCAGATCTGGGAGTTTAATTTTTTTTTAATACAAAAATATTCTATGTATTACCGTTTATTGCCCATTGACTCAGAAGTATGACATTTTCTAGAAGCATAGTGATTTCTAGTGGAGAATTTGACATATGAAGCATTCTGAGCTTTCATCCAATTAGTTTAACTATATTCAGTCCCTGTAGTACTTCTCTCTGCTTGAAGAAGTCTGTCCTGAAATACGTTGTATACTTTGGAGGAAAAGACCAGTCCATATTGTTACTGTAAATAATTCTACATAAAGTAAAAATAGCATTTAAAAATTTTTGACGCATAATAAAGTATAGCTATATTTATTGACTTTAGTCCCATGCACTGTGCTAAGCCCTTTACATATATTATCTCATTTGGTTTCAAAGGAGCCCTAGGAGTAGGGTACTGTTATCTCCATTTGACAGACCCCGTGCACAGAAAGTTTTAAGTAGATCTGCTCAAGGTCTACAGCTAAGTAAAAGACTCAGATAGAAACCTGAATGTTTCTCACACTTTATCTTCTATACACTGTTCTCCTTATGCAACATAAAATATTGTTTGATAGGCTCATTAGTTTTGCTTAGTCTAATTTTCTTTTCATCCAATGTTTGGTTCTCGTTGTAGTGTTTAGATTATGAAGTTGAGATACAGGGCTAATATCTGATTTACTGTTAGACTTTTTCGTAATGTGTCCGGTGTGTGGTCATACTTTTATAAAGTTTGGTTTTTAAAATTTTATAAGTGGTCATGAAATTTTAATTGAACATTAAGTGTGTACCTACTAGAAATCTTTTCATCAAAAAGTTCTTTAGTGAGTTATTTTGCATAATCATAATACTGTTTGAGTAATTTTTGCAACAGAAAGACTTCAGGTATTTTGTACCATATTTTGTAACATGGGAGTGAATGACAGCTCTACCTTGAAAGATATGAAGAAATCAGTATTTCTACCTTCAAAAACAGACTATTTTAATGTCACAAGTTTGCCAATTCTGTTGTTTATTTAGTGCATTGGTAGTTTTAAATGGCTAATGCTGGAGTGAAAACATGGAGGAAAATGTACTCAATGTATTAGCAATAGGGGTCATTTTTATGTAATCAAATATTGCATATTTAATCTTTTTAAAATTGCCTTAACTCTTAACTTTTATTCTTACCACTGATCAATCTTTCTCTTTCCAAATTTAGGGGAGAAACAATCCTCAAGTGTATATAGGAGAGAAACCTGACACATTAGAGAGTAAGAATTTCAATTGGTGATTTGAAGCAGCTGGGTTGATAACCCTGGGCTTAACAAGACTGATATTTTTAAACTAGGCCCTGTATACTTTAACATTGTTATCTGGGAGGTAACACTAAACTTCAGTTCTTGTGATTAATAACACTTTTGTGGGGGAGAGACAGGTAATTAACTATACTTGCTCATTTTCTAAGTGGTTTAGAAGGTTGCAGTCTGCCTCACCATACAAAGCTAATTTAAATATGAATATATAACAGTCATACTCCAAACAGCAAACAAGCTCAGAGGAAAATCATTTATTCAGAAGGCATAGATTTGCACTAGACAGCAGTGATGCATTACAAATATATAATTATTTTTACTAATATTTGAGCAGGTGGAATGGATTAGAACATGGTCAACATTATGCTGCTGCTAACATGTATTTTCCTATATTAATATGTACTGTGCAACATGTATTAAAATTGTCAATAATTCATTTTAGCCAAGACACTATATTACTGTGTTGAAGAGACAGTATCCAACTGAGCCACTTTTAATTTAAAAGTCTGAAACTGGAATTAAGTTTACTTTCAAAAACCACTTAAATTACTTTATAATCACTGGAAGGTCAATAAAACATAGAATTATCAGTGACTGGTCACTTAATAGGAAGAAGTATGGAGGGGTAAGAATAGGGATAAGAATCTGGAATGAGTTAATTTATACTCAGATGAGTGACTTCTTTTGTTTTCACCATTGGCAATCTTAAATGAAGGAAAATGTCTTTCTTCCAGAGTATCTTCATATTAATAAACTAAGTTTGAAGATTGGATGGAACCAACTCCAAGGAATTAATCTCCAATGGTGGACTTTCAGATTTTTTAGATTAAACTTTGAGAGGTAGGAATCCTTCTTGATGCCCCTGTAATCTTAAATAGGCAGGTGCCTTGGAATGGGGCCATCCCTTTTTACCTGCCTGTCATTTTAATCTTTATACTGTGGGTAAATTTGGTTTCTTTGAACTCTGGCATTTTGTTGTGGCAGTCTATCAAACCTGCAGCTTTTTGCTATAGAGAATATTATCCAAATAGTATCTGGACAATGCTGAACTAAAGCAAACTGTGAAACTACCTCTTAAATATATTGTTTGCAAATGCTGTGTGCTAGAGGATTCACATAAAATTATATGAAAATACTTTATAACGAATAATACTAAGTGCCTCTATATTAGGATTCTTCAGAATGTATTTTCAATTTTTGCCACAAGGGGGAGAAGTTATTTTTATAGTAATACTTACAAACATTTTTGTTTGATAAAAATAGAACTCACATAGCTTCTCTCTACTGAACAGCACCTATGAACATGTCATTATCCTAACTAACAGGAAGAGTGTGTGAGTATGTGTGTGTGTTTAAGATTCTGAAAGTCATGTGTGAGAAGAATTTCTGGGTGAATTAATGACACAAAACTAAAACAGTTTTGAAGAACATATATGTGCACAGTGGACCCAGGAACTGGACAGACTTCGTCATTAAAATTGTTTTTTTAATCATTGAATTCCTTTATCAGCTCTTTAAGAATAATAAGAATCTATTGATTCATTTTTTTGCTTTCTGCTTTTTAAAGAAAAATTTTCGAAACAATCTCTAACTTACAGAAAGGTTGTAA